CTAAGGCCTACAGAGTCTACACAATCCTCCCCACCTCCAATGACCCCCGCCCAACGTGGCTCACTCCACACCAGCCACCCTGGCCTCCTTGCTGTCTCTAGAACATGCCAGTCATACTCCCACCTCTGGGCTTTGCACATGCTGTTCCCTCTGCCCAGAACCATCTTCCCTTAGGCACCAGCAAGGCTGGCTCCTTCTCCCTCTCACAGTTCTGCTCAGACCTCTACTCAGCAAGGCTGCCTGGCCCTCTCTGTTTAATTCAGCCACCCACCCCGCCCCTTTCCTTAGACCTTCAGTACTCTTCGCTCTGCCTTTTTCTTTTTTTTTCTTTGAGATGGAGTTTCACTCTTGTTGCTCAGGCTAGAGAGCAACGGTGTGATCTCAACTCACTGCAACCTCCGCCTCCCGGGTTCAAGCAATTCTCGTGCCTCAGCTTCCTGAGTAGCTGGGATTACAGGCACCCACCACCACACCCAGCTAATTTTTGTATTTTTAATAGAGACTGGGTTTCACTGCGTTGGCCAGGTTGGCCGCAAACGCCTGACTTCAGGTGATCTGCCCACCTTGGCTTCCCAAAGTGCTGAGATTACAGGCGTGAGCCACTGTGCCGAGCCATGTCTGTATTTTTTTAAGGAGAGGGCTTTTTTGTTTTAAGTAATGAGCTCCTCAGTATGTTAGCGGGGAATGGAGTATTGTGGAATGAGTTCCTGCTTTGTTAAGAGTTGTATTAAACAGACCTCCAAACCTCAGGTGGCTTCTTGGAGGGAGCAGGCCTTGATCTTATGGCTGAAGGCAGCCCACACAATCACCTCAGGACAAATTTTTCCACAGGGAAGCCTTAGCCTATCCCAGAAACAATCAAAGTCACTGCTGTCAAACTCCACTTTGATTGTTTAATCAACATGTTTATTGTTTCTGCAAACAGTTATTAGCTGTGGGTCTTTGGGCAAAAATTGTAACCTCTCTGGGCTTCGGTTTTCTCATCTGTGAAATGAGATGATAATAATATATTTTTATTATTATATTATTTATTTATTCATCTTTTTTTGTTATTTTTTTGAGATGGAGTCTCACTCTGTTGCCCAGGCTGGAGCGCAGTGGTTCGATCTTGGCTCACTGCAACCTCCACCTCCCAAGTTCAAGTGATTCTCCTGTCTCAGCTTCTCCATTAGCTGGGATTACAGGCATACACCACCATGCTCAGCTAATTTTTTTTTTTTTTTTTTGGTATTTTTAGTAGAGATGGGGTTTCACCATGTTGGCCAGGCTGGTCTCTAACTCCTGACCTCAGGTAATCCACTCACCTCAACCTCCCAAAGTACTGGGATTACGGGCATGAGCCACTGCACCCAGCCAATAATAGCATATTTTTATAATGTATATTGAAAACTGTGGGGCTTGGTGGCTCATGCCTGTAATTCCACCACTGTTGGAGGCCGAGGCAGGAGGATAACTTGAGCTCACGAGTTGGAGACCAGTCTGGGCAACATGGTGAAATACCTTCTCTACAAAAAGTAGAAAAACTAAACAGTGATGGTGACCTGTGCCTATAATCCCAGCTGCTCAGGAGGGTCACCTGAGCCTGGGAGGTCAAGACTGCAGTGAGCTGTGATCGCCCCATTGCACTCCAGCCTGGGCAACAGTGAGATACAATATATATATTTTATAAATGAATACTGAAAACATATATCTTTTTTTCTTTTTGAGATGGAGTCTCACTCTGTCACCCAGGCTGGAGGGCAGTGGCGTGATCTCGGCTTACTGCAACCTCCACCTCCTGGGTTCAAGCAATTCTCCTGCTTCAGCCTCTTGAGTAGCTGGGATTACAGGCGCCGGCCACTGTGCCTGGCTAATTTTTTGTATTTTGTTGTTGTTGTTTTAATTTTTTGTATTTTTAGTAGAGACGGAGTTTCACCATGTTGGCCAGGCTGGTCTTGAACTCCTGACCTCAGGTGATCCACCTGCCTTGGCCTCCCAAAGTGCTAGGATTACTGGCATGGGCCACTGCACCTGGCTGAAAACCTGTATCTTTATTGGGTGCTTACTCTGTCAGGCACTTGATGGCATTTGAGCTGAGACTTGAGAGTAGAGTAGGAATTAGCTACGTGAAGGTATGAAGAACAGGTTTGGGCAGGGAGAATAGAAGATGCAAAGGCCCTGAGGTGGGTAGGTGTTTAGAGAGCTCTAGGAATTAAAAAATGGCCGATAGGACTGGGGTGTAGTGAATAAGGAGAGAGGAATGGAGTTGAGGCTGGAGGGCAGCAGAGCCACTTTCTGTGGGGCCTTACCTCCCTGTTGCCGTATCTGCTCTCCCCACCCCACCCCACCCCTGCACTGCCAACATTGCCAGCACAGGGGTGCGCTTACCCTCCGCTCTCGGCTCACTCACTCAGGGAGCACTCACTGAGCTCCTAGGATGTGTCTGACATTGTTGTAAATACTCGGGCCACATCAGTGACAAAAACAATGGTTCCTACCCTCTCAATGTCTACATTCTGGAAGGAAGGGCAGACATAATGTCTAAGTAAGTTTTCTATTATGTTTGAAGGTGCTCAGTCCCCTGGGAAAAAGAAAAAGTTAACTGGGAATGGTGGCTCGGGCCTGTAATCCCAGCACTTTGGGAGGCCAAGGTGGGCAGATCACCTAAGGTCAGGAGTTCGAGACCAGCCTGATCAAAATGGTGAAACCCCATCTTTAAAAATAAATAAAAATAAATACAATTTAAAAATTAAAAAAATAATAAAAATACAAAAATTAGCAGGGACCTGTAATCCCAGCTACTGAGGAGGCTGAGGCAACAGAATCATTTGAACCTGGGAGGCAGAGGTTGCAGTGAGCTGAAATCAAAACATTGCACTCCAGCCTGCGTAACGGGCGAGACTCCATCTCAAAAAAACAAAAGACAAAAAGCACAGACATTTCACAGAAGAGATGTAAATGGTTAAAACAATCCATAAAGAGATGTCTGACTTCACTTGTCACGGAAGAAATGCAATCAACAAGAAGGTATGTTGAGGCTGGGCATGGTGGCTCACACCTGTAATCTCAGCATTTTGCAGGTCAATCACCTGAGGTCAAGAGTTCGAGACCAGCCTTGTCAACATGGTGAAACCCCATCTCTACTAAAAATACAAAAATCTGTTGGGCATGCTGGCGGATACCTGTAATCCCAGCTACTTGGGAGGCTGAAGCAGGAGAACCGCTTGAACCCAAGAGACGGAGGTTGCAGTGAGCTGAGCTGAGATCACGCCACAGCACTCCAGCCTGGGCAACAAGAGCGAAACACTATCTTAAAAAAAAAAAAAAAAAAAAAAGGCATGTTGAGTTTTTCAGTTTAGCAGAGTGAATGTTTTTTTCTTTGAGACAAGGTCTTGTTCTGTCACCCAGGCTGGAGCCACAGGATATATGAAGACATTATATATATATTTTTTTTTTTAGAGACAGAACTTTCGCTCTTGTTGCTCATGCTGGAATGCAATAGCAATCTCAGCTCACTGCAACCTCCACCTCCCGGGTTCAAACAGGTCTCCTGACTCAGCCTCCCTGGCAGCTGGGATTACAGGCATGTGCCACCACGCACAGCTAATTTTGTATTTTAAGTAGAGATGGGGTGTCTCCATGTTGGTCAGAGGGTTCTCCATGTTTGTTAGGCTGGTCTCAAACTCCTGACCTGAGGTGATTTACCTGCTTCGGCCTCCCAAAGTGCTGGGATTACAGGCATGAGCCACCGCGCCAGGAAAAAATATATTTGTAATATTTATATAATATGTAATACAAAAATACCATATAAATTTCTACATGGAATTCTATAAATTTTATATTATATATAAAATGTATGTACTGCTTGCTTAGCTCTGCGAAGTACACTTCTTGGCCTATTCCCGTAGCTCCAACACATTGTCCCAAATCTTCAAGGTCCTTCAATAGTGTTAGAGTCTGGGTGCGGTGGCTCACTCCTGTAATCCCAGCACTATGGGAGGCTGAGGCGATGGATCACAAAGTCATAGGTTTAAGACCACCCTGGCCAACACGGTGAAACCACGTCTCTACTTAAGACACACAAAAAATTAGCCGAGCATGGTGGTGTGCACCTGTAATCCCAGCTACTTGGAGAGCTGAGACAGGAGAATCTCTTGAACCCGGGAGGCGGAGGTTGCAGTGAGCCGAGATCGCATCACCGCTCTCCAGCCTGGGCAACAGAGCAAGACTCCGTCTCGAAAAAAAAAAAAAAATTTTTTTTAAATGTATTTATTAGAGGGCTATATGGAAGTGGCTATTAAACACATGGGCTTTGAAGTTAGAATTCCAAACCATCCGCAAATGTATGCTCTCAGTTAACATCTTTTATCTGTAAGATGGAAATCAAAAGTGTCTATTTGATAACGTCTTGAGGAAATGAAGCAATGCATATAAACTGTTTAGCCCAGACCGTTCTGTAAATACATACTGAAGAATTTATTCTTATTTTGCCTAGTATATAGTATGCCAAAGTACGAGATTACGGTGGGGTTTTCCCCGTCTCTCTGTGTTGCCTAGGCTAGCCTCGAACTGCTCAGCCCAAGAGATCCTCAGTCTCCCTGAGTAGCTGGGACCACCGGCAGGCGCCACCCTGGCTTTGATTAAGGCCATTTTGTTGTTGTTATTCCCCTGCTCCCCACGAGGGGCGCTGTCGCTCCGAAGCTGCCAGGGCGGGAGTCAGGCTAGCGGAAGTCTCTCTAGCCACGGTCACCGCCATCATGGAATACAGGCTCACCTCACCTTGCAGGTGTAGCCGTTTCGTACGGTCGCGTAAGCAGACCCGCTCGCAGCGACAACCATCCCTCGCATTCTTTTCGCTTCCTCTTAAGTAATAAACCGTCTTTCCCTAGGACGAGTCTTAAATTCTTTAGAAGCAATAATGGCGGCGTCTTCCGGCAGCCGACCTCGCCCCGTGACCTCAGAGGTATACTTCCGGGACACGGAAGTGACCCGTTGCTCCGCCCTTTTCCACTCTCTCTTTCCGGTGTGGAGTCCGGAGACAACGTGCAGGTAGGAGGCCCGGACGCGGACAATCGGGGGGCATCCTTCGGCAAGGGGGCCCTGTGGGGCTGGAGACGCGAGCTGGGGTCTTTCCGTGGGAACCGAGTTAGGTGCCGGGCAAGAGACGCGCGGCTGGCCCACTTGGATGCTAGCCAACTCGGGATCGAGTTCGCGCCTGGTTTCGGAAGGCGGCAGTCTTGCTTCAGGGAGGAGCTGGTGAAGTAAGGGTGAGTGCGGGTTCAGCCCTTTAGGGCCTCGGCCCCGCAGTATGACCGCGGCCGCGCTTGAGCGGGACAGATGGAGGCTCCCGCCTCTACCTCGCCGTCTTTTTTCGTGGAGATCGGAGGCCCACGCCTAAACTCCTTTGTTTCCTCGTCTGCAAAGTAGGAATAATAGACCGATCCCGTGGGTTTGTAGTGATCAAAGACGGAAAGCAAGGAAAACTCTCCCTGTGTAGGATGCTTCTAAATCCGGGCGATTCTTTCCGTTGCTGAGTTGGGCATGTTGCAAGTTGGGGGCGCTCAGGGTCCAGCACCGATGTTTGCTGTGCGTTTATATACCGACCCCCTTGCCTTGCCCTGCGTTTATATACCCCCAGTGACCACTCTGCTCATTGCTTTAGGGGATGTTAGGAACGGAGAAACTGCAAATTGGCATTTACTGAATGGCCACCATGCCGAAACATACTCATGCTTACATAGTTATGATCTGATGGAGCCTCTTTGCGCTTCTCCAGGCAAAACTTGGGGCTTCTCTCCTGTGGCGCCTTGCCACAATAATTAACGCACGGTGTCGTGTTCGTTAGTCTGATTTGAAGATCGGAACAGTTAACTTCGTACACCCGAGTTTTAAAGTACTTAGTGTGGTCACACACTAAAGGTCATATAGGGAAGGCACAGGGGAGATCCGGAACACCTGAGACAGACTTTTCTGGGTCTGAGGTAGTTATTTGTGGAGTAGGACATCAAGGCAGGAGGCAGAGTGTGCTGGACTGGGAGTTAGAACACTTCGTATCTAGGTTTGGTTTTGCCACTGTCCTTACTATGACCATAGGCTGAGACACTCACCATCTGCAGGAATACCGATATTAGCTTTTAGTGTCTTCTGAAAATGTTACATTGTCCGGAATACCAGGAGGTTCAGAAGGCTTGGGGCTTTAGATAGGAAGCAGTCTTCTAGCCTTCCACATTCTCATTCATTCTCACCTGGCTTCCTCCTGTCAGTTTCTTCCGCCCTTAGATCCTGTGACAGTACCATTGCACTTAGAAGGCCATATAACAGGTTAGAGTTATTTGATCCGAGAGACAGATAAGATTTCTGGACTGGGTCTTTTCCATGAGCCTGACTTTTGGATGTGTTTTAGTGCCTTTGATATTTGATGCTGGTGAAAGATTTCTTTCTAAATAGTTGTGTGTGTCAGATCAATTGCATTTTTGGATTTTGAAGGGATCAGGTGGAGCATGGGAAAACAGGAGATGAGGCTCGAGGGCTGTGTTGGTACTAAGCTGAGGAATTCATTCAGGAGTCAGGCAAGTCCCCGCCCCATAAAGGGTCTTTGGGATGGTGTTACCAGTACATGGGTAGGTATTGGTCTTGGGTTTCTTCTTTCCTTTTGGGATGTAGTCTTCAGGCATCTGCTGCTAGAACCCTAGGCTTCTATCCTATAGGTGCTGTGAGCTGTGCTTTTGGAGTTTCTGGGGAGAGAATACTTCTCATGGCACTTGGCTATATGACCACAGTTGACACCCCCACCCCCATCCCCACCAAGTGCAAGGAGAAAGAAGTTGTAGTGAGGCCTAGGTGAGAGAATATAGCAGAGTCCTGGATAGAAGGAGACAGGGACATGAAGAAGCAAGACTTAGGGTTTCCTTTCATAGCCAGGGGAGAGGGATTCTGGAAATGTGTTGTCTGTTAACTTTGAGTTTCTTTTCCTTCCATTCAGAAATGGCACCTCGAAAGGGGAAGGAAAAGAAGGAAGAACAGGTCATCAGCCTTGGACCTCAGGTGGCTGAAGGAGAGAATGTATTTGGTGTCTGCCATATCTTTGCATCCTTCAATGACACTTTTGTCCATGTCACTGATCTTTCCGGCAAGTGAGTACCTGGGTGGAGAGGCACAAAACCCAGCTGGCAAAAGGCTGAGGAAAGCAATGACTGGGACGGGCTAGCAATACAAGGGGTTCTTTCTAAAGAAACTGTTTCGTCCAGGAAGGAAAGTGTGCTTGTCCATTTAGCCCACAAATAATTGTGATTCCCAGGGGTTACAAGAGAGGCAACACATTCTTTGTCCTTACAGCGTGATGGTCATTGGCTCCTTGGTTTCTTGGGAGTTCTCTTCTTTCCTTAGTCCCCTTTGTAGGAGCAGCACTGGACTGCAAGTGAGCTCTGGGTGTGGATTTGACTACCATTAGCAAGTTGTGACTGGTGTGAAGTCACTCAGATTCTGAGTTTTGGCTTCCTCATATGTAAAATGAGGACAGTAGTGGCAACCTCATGGAGTAATTGTAAGGATTAAATGCAAAAGTAAATATATAAAATGTTAATACTAAGTTTAGCTAAATTGGGCCTTTCAACCCCACTGGACTGATCTCCATGAGGGCAGAGCCCATGACCGTTGTCTTCCACCATGACTGAGCTGTGGTGCTCTTCACTCATTAGGACATGGTAAGCACTTCTTGTTGAACAAGGAAAAATGACCCTGGGCTTTTGTCTCCAGAGAAACCATCTGCCGTGTGACTGGTGGGATGAAGGTGAAGGCAGACCGAGACGAATCCTCGCCGTATGCTGCTATGTTGGCTGCCCAGGATGTGGCCCAGAGGTGCAAGGAGCTGGGTATCACTGCCCTACACATCAAACTCCGGGCCACAGGAGGAAATAGGTACGAGTGTGTGGGGGAGCTATGGCTGGGTGGTTAAAAACAAAACTGCTGGGCCTGGGCGCTGGAGCACCTGGTTGAGGCTTGGGTTTTTTTGTTGTGACCTTGAACAAGATATTTTAGGCACGTACGTATTTAATACTTGGCTCTTTTGTGCACTCCCCAGCAGCTCAGTGTTGAGCACCCACTCTATACCAGGAGCTGTGTTTTAGGTCCTAGAAGAGAGTGATGGTAAACATAGACATGGTCTCTACCCTCCTTGTAGGGGACCTAGGCTGGTGGGAGAGTCAGACTTTAAACCACAGAGCACCAGGGAGTATCTGTGGTTTTCATTTGTGACAAATGCTAGGAAGCACGAGTAGGGAGTTTGGTGATAAAGTGTAATTTAACTAAACGATGAGTCTGGAGTCAAGGAAGGACAAGAGGAGGGGATTCCAGCTAGAGACAACTGCAAGGAAAGATCTCGAGGTAGGGGTGAACTTGGGTACCTGTGAAGGAAAGAGTGGCATGAGGTGTAATCAGAGAAGGGAAGGGGTGGAGTCCTGTAGAAGATAAGGACATGGGCTTGAGTGCTGGGGGCATGAAAGCTAAAATAGATGACTATTGGGTGGACAGGACAGACAGTGGTCAGAACAGAACAACAAAAATCATAGTGGCACCTCAACCTAAAATATCTACTGTCTGGCTTTTTTGTTGTTGTTGTTGTTGTTTTTTGAGACAGGGTCACACTCTCATAGGCTGGAGTGTAGTGGTGCTATCTCAGCCTATTGCAGTCTCTGCCTATAAGGCTCAAGCAGTTCTTCCACCTCAGCCTCCCGAGTAGCTGGGACTACTAGTAGTAGTGCTACCGCACCTGGCTAAATTGTGTATTTTTGTAGAGACGGGGTTCTGCCATGTTGCCCAGGCTGGTCTTGAACTCCTGAGCTCAAGCAGTCCACCCTGCCTTGGCCTGCCAATGTGCTGGCGTTACAGGTTATCCACCCTGCCCAGCCCTGTCTGACTCTACAGAAAGTTTGCAGACCTCTGAACTGTCAGGGTGTTGGGATCTTAGAAAGGGGATCTTCCACTGGCTTGGCCAACGGCTTTTCTTAACTTAAACCTTCATTTTCTAGGACCAAGACCCCTGGACCTGGAGCCCAGTCGGCCCTCAGAGCCCTTGCCCGCTCGGGTATGAAGATCGGGCGGATTGGTAAGTGACCCCTTTAGCTAACACTTGGATTTATTGTGAAGTTCTGGCCCCAGAAAGCTCATGTGCCTAGTGGAAGGAAACACAGTGGCTGGTCTGGTCACTTTTGTCAGTTAAGTTTGTTAAGGGAGCCTGCAAGAGGCACCTCATGACTTAAAGTCTTCGTAAATATCTGTGTCACCTTGATGTGAAAGTCCTGTTTCATTTGTGAATCTCTGCCCTACACTGCCTGGTGCAGGAGAAACTTGGTTCTTGAGGGCATTGCTATTAGCATTTTGTGTGTGCCATCTCCTGCGTTGTAGGGTGTTCAGCATTTTTGGTTTCTGCCTATTAAATATCAGTAGGGGATGCCAGTCCTATAACAACCAAAAATGAAGTGGGGGGTACCAGCTTTCATTATTAGTACTCTCACGCTTGTGATTTCCTGGCTCCTTACAGCCCCCGGGAAGGAGACATTAGTTCTTCCCTGCACGTTGTTTCTGTGCAGTTAGTAGCAACGTACACTGACATCTTTGGCCAAAGTTCCTACTGTGTCCTCCTCGAAAGATTTTTTTTTTCTTAAGATAGGGTCTTGCTCTGTTGTATGGGCTGGAGTTCAGTGGCACAATCTCAGCTCACTGTAATTCACCTCCTGGGTGGATCTGTCCAAGGGATCTTCCCACCTCAACCTCTTAAGTAGCTGGGACTACAGGTGTGTGCCACCATGCCTGACTTTTCTTTTTTTTAAGAGGGGGGTTTTGCCATGTGGCTCAGGCTGATCTCGAACTCCTGGCCTCAGGCAATCCACTGGCCTGAGCCTCTGAATCCCAAAGTGCTGGGGTTACAGGCATGAGCCACCACGCCCAGCCTTGAAAGATTTTTTTTTCAGACTCTTTTCAGTCTCCTTTTACTTAATGAAAAGGAGACATTTTTCTCTAGAGAAGATGGTGGCTAAAGAAAACCTGGATTTGTCCTGTGCCTCTGACATCTTGCATAACTCTCAGCCTGTTTCCCCTTCTGGAAAGTGAGTTAAGACCATGTCAGGAAATTCGAGGAATTGGCAGATGAGGCCGCTCCACCTTCACATCCATCTGTTACATACTGGGGGGTCATTTTGGGAGCAGCAGGATCTGTTGCTGACTGGTTAGGCCACTGGTCTCTAGGGAGGCCTCGGGGCCCTTCCCATCCAGCTGCAGGCAATGATGAGGCTTTCTCTTCCTCCCCACAGAGGACGTCACCCCCATCCCCTCTGACAGCACCCGCAGGAAGGGGGGTCGCCGTGGTCGCCGTCTGTGAACAAGACTCCTCAAAATGTTTTCTGTTAATAAATTGCCTTCATGTAAACTGTTTCAACTCTAGTCTTTTCTCCATCAGGGGCTGCTCAGACATTTGATTTCTTCTCCTATTTGGCTTCTTGGGAGAAGGAGCCTGAGGAGAGCTGAGATCCTGGTGCTGCATTTGAGGTCTTTTCCACACTACTTGTGGCATTAAAATGCCTTGGTCATCTAAAGCAAACCAAGGCGTTGGAGACCTCGTTTTCAGTGGAGGTGCTGGTTCTAAAAATGGACCAATTCTTAAAGAACCAGAGTGGGAACTGTTGATCCAAGTGTAGCCTGAGCCGAAGAGGAGCCTTCCAGACCCATGCCATATATAAACACACGTGGGTGTGCATTCTCCCCCCACACCTTCTGTGCAAAGCTAGGAGCTCACTCTACTGAGTCTTGCTTTTTTTCACTTGGCAGATCTTGGAGATCGTTCCACATCAGTACATAAAGTACATAAAGATTGTCACCCCACAAATACACACCAAGTCCTATTTTCATCAGCAGTAAAAAAGATAAAAGTTCTTGCTTTCCGGAAGCTTGCATGCGGCTCCGAGGACCCAACGACACCAGATGGTACTGAATGTTTTACAAGAGATTACCACAAGACCTTGTGATGGTGCCTGCCATGGTTAGGACAGGCTGGTGGCTGGGTAGGATTAGTGAGGCCCAGCAGAGATGAGAGGATGCTGCATGTCATGGGCTGGAGAGGTGAGAGCATTGAGGTAGTCAGTGCTACCAGCAAGAGTGGAAAGTTTGTTGAGTTGCTGCTGTTGAGAGCAAGGCTTTGATGGCATGTTCTAGACAGGGAATACGAAAATAAATAGGTCCTGAGACAAGGGGTTACTGGGATGAGGCAGCATTGGTTACATGCCAGACCTTGCTAGGCATTTTAATCTCATTGAATCTTAATCTGATAAAAAAGATAACACTATGCCCATCGTAGAACTAAGACAACAGCATGAGAAGTCACTTGGTAAAGGTCACAGCTTATAATAAGGACAATAGTTATGACTCAAGCTGCACACATTTTACATAACAGCTTTATTGAGATGATTTATATACAATTCACCTATAAAATGGTTTGGTTTTGTTTTGAGTCAGTTTCGCTTTTGTTGCAAGATCCGTATCGGCTCACCACAACCTCTGCCTTCTGGGTTCAAGCAGTGTTCCTGCCTCAGCCTCCCAAGTAGCTGGGCTTACAGGCATGTGCCACCTACCTTGCCTGGTTAATTTTTTTTTTTTTTTGTAGAGACAGGGTTTCATCATGTCCAGACTGGTTTTGAACTCCTGATCTCAGGTGATCCACCTGTCTCAGCCTCCCAGAGTGCTGGGATTACAGGCGTGATCCCCTGTGCCTGGCCCTAATTTTGTATTTTTAGTAGAGATGGGATTTCTCCATGTTGGTCAGGCTGGTCCTGAACTCTCTACCTCAGGTGATCCACCCAACTAAGCCTCCCAAAGTGCTGGGATTACAGGTGTGAGCCACTGTGCCCGGCCTGATTTCTAGTGCTATATATTATGAAAATCACAATGAGCTTTAGGGCATTTCATAACCTGTCTCCCTATCCCTATACACACCAAAACAAACCCATTAGCAATTGCTCCTTCCCCTGTCTTAAACAATCAATAATCCATCTATGAATTTGTCTATGGGGATTTCGTATATGTCTGTTGATCCTATGCTTCAGTCAGTACAGCATGTTACCATATTGAATACTGGAGTCACTTACAACAGTGGTATCTGTATCCTAACTCAGAAAAGGCAGGCCAGGCATGGTGGCTTATGCCTGTAATCCCAGCACTTTGGGAGGCTAAGGTGGGTGGATCATCTGAGGTCAGGAGTTAGAGACCAGCCTGACCAACATGGAGAAACCCGTCTCTACTAAAAATACAAAAAAGTAGCTGAGTGTGGTGGCACGTGCCTGTATTCCCAGCTACTCAAGAGGCAGGAGAATCGCTTGAACCTGGGAGGCAGAGGTTACAGTGAGTCAAATCACGCCATTGCACTCCAGCCTGGGTGACAGAGTGAGACTTCATCTCAAAAAAAAAAAAAAGTTTTAAAAATAAAGTGTATGATTAAGCCAAAAGCATAAGATAAATGAGTCTGTGCCGATACTGATAATTTTAATAAAAATCTTCCATGCCCAGCTACATTTTGTAGAGACGGGGTTTCAACACGTTGGTCAGGCTGGTCTCGAACTCTTGACCTCGTGATCTACCCGCCTTGGCCTCTCAAAGTGCTGGGATTACAGGCGTGAGCCACCACACCAGGCTGAAGTTACAAATCTTATAAAAAATATTCTAAAGCCGGTGAGGTAGCTGTAATCCTAGCACTTTGGGAGGCTGAGGTGGGCGGGTCACCCGAGATCGGGAGTTCAAGACCAGCCTGACCAACGTGGTGAAACCCTGTCTTGAAAAAAAAATTCTAAATAATATAAGTAGATACTCCTGTCTTCAGTAAGTGGAACTCCCCACCCCGTAGAGTGTAGGTTGAACTTAATGATTTGCTTGCCAGAGAACAGAATATGGAGGAGAGAAATAGTAACTTTACTGTGAAGAAGCCTGGCATATGCTAACTTAACCAAACTGAGGTTGGTATCACTTGTGAATCACATTGATACATACTTTGGTTTGACATGATAAGAAGAGCAGTTCACCTCTGTGATATTCTCCTAGAAACCAATAACCAAGTTAGAGGACATCTACAAAATAACAGTACTCCTTATTTTTTTGTTTTGTTTTTGAGACAGAGTCTTGCTCTGTCACCCAGGCTCAAGTGCAGTGGCATGATCTCAGCTCACTGCAACCTCTGCCTCCCGGGTTCAAGTGATTCTCCTGCCTCAGCCTCCCGGGTAGCTGAGACTACAGGCAAGCACCACCACACCCGGCTACTTTTTGTATTTTTAGTAGAGATGGGGGTTTTACCATATTGGCCAGGCTGGTCTCGAACTCCGGACCTGGTGATCTACCTACCTTGGCCTCCCAAAGTGCTGGGATTACAGGGGTGAGCCACTGCCCCTGACTCCTTAAATTGTTAAGTCATGAAAGTCAGGATTTTTGGCTCTCTGGAATCCCGCCCCCATATAGTGGGAGCTCTTAATTAAAAAAAAAAATCATGAAAGTCAAGGACAGGAGATTAAGGAGGAGTGAAAACTAAATGCATTGCGGTATGTGAATTGGATTCTGGAACCAGAATAGGATATTAGCATAAAAACTAGTGAAATAGGATAAAGGCTGGGCACAGTGACTCACGCCTATAATCCCAGCACTTTGGGAGGCCGAGGCAGGAGGATGGATTGAACCCAGGAGTTTGAGATCAGCCTAGGCAACAGGAGACCCCATCTACAAAAAATAAAAAATTAGCTGGGCACGGTGGCACATGTCTGTAGTGTCAGCTACTCAGGAGGCTTAGGTAGGAGAATTGCTTGAGCCTGGGAAGTGGAGGCTGCAGGGAGCCATGACTGCATCACTACATTCAGCCTGGGCCACAGGGCAAGACCCTGTTTCAACAAACTAACTAAATAAATAATAAATTAAAAAGTAATACAAATAAAGTCTGGAGTTCAGCTAATAGTAATGTACCAGTGGTTTCCTACTTTTGACAAATATATCATTGCCATGTAAGATGGTAACAGGTGGGCTGGGTGTGGTGGCTTACGCCTATAATCCCAGCACTTTGGGAGGCCAAGGTGGGCAGATCACTTGAGGTCAGGAGTTTGAGACCAGCCTGGCCAACATAGCGAAACCTGGTTTCTACTAAAAATTTAAAAAAAAGCAAAAACAAAAAACTAGCCATGTGTGAGGTCACGTTCCTGTAGTCCTAGCTACTTGGGAGGCTGAGGCAGAAGAATCGCCTGAACTTGGGAGGCAGAGGTTGCAGTGAGCTGAGATTGTGCCACTGCAGTCCAGCCTGGGCGACAGAGTAAGACTGTCTAAAACAAAGAAAAAAAGATGATAACAGGTGAAACTGGGTGAGTGGCACACAGAAACTCTATCTTTGCAACTTTTTGGTAAACTTAAAATTATGCCAAAGTCAAATTATTAGGGAAAAAGATGAGGGGTGCTTTTGTACTGTCAGTCTGGTTTCTAAGGCAGGATGTGGTGCACAGACCGTCAGGAGGTAGACACACCTGGATGAAAATCCTCTTCCACAGCTTCCGACCATTCAACCTTAGGCAAAGTACTTAACCTCTCAGCCATTTAGTGGTAACTCCTGTGATGACGGCTGCCTCAAATGCAATCACACAAGATCAAATGTTTAGCGCAGTGCCTGGCACTGAAGAAGCTGCTGCTATTCTTACATCGATGCAGCTCTTGTGCCAAGCAGCATAAAGGACAGCTGGCTAGAATCATGCTGGAAAAATGTTGCCAGTTGCTGGAGCATTCTTTTTATTTCCTGTGGTGAGACTGCAACTTGTCCTGCTCTTTCCTGGTAACCAGGGATGCAATCAGCCGGTTTTTGAAAGCAGCCCCTTTCGGGGGTTTTGCCTGAAAGGAGAGCCAAGTGGTGGTGGGAACGTAGCAGCCTATTGGCTGCGGAGGTAGCTGGGCTGCTGCCCACCTGAGACTGCAGACCGAAGCAGAGGCGCCTGAAGCTGTGACTGCAGCCCCAACCAGGCCTCTAGAGATAGTTCCTGCCCCTGTCCCCTGCTCCCCTCCTGGCTGCCTTCTCACCATGGTTTCCTTCTTAGCATTTCCTAGTCTTCCCTCTGGCCCCCACCTATCTCTAGACCACATTGCAACATGCCATCTAAAACTAACTGGATTCTGTCACTCCCCTGCAGGTTTTTTTTTTTTCCCCCTACCCAGGCTGGAGTGCAGCGGTGTGATCTTGGCTCACCGCAACCTCAGCCTCTTGAGTTGTGATTCTCCTGCCTCAGCCTCCTGAGTATCTGGGATTACAGGCGCCCACCACCACATCCAGCTAATCTTTGTAGTTTTTAGTAGCGTTTCACCATGTAAGTTTCACCATATTGGCCAGGCAGGTCTCAAACTCCTGACCTCAGGTGATCTGCGCCA